TAGTAAGGGCAGCCAAAAGGGGCTTTTGATCGCTGCACTTCAGTACTTTGATAGCTGGACCTTGGTAGTTAGCCTCAAGAGGAGGAAGTGGCCAAATAAGGACATAGACACTGGTGCCTAGAGTGTAATCCAATGGTTTTTATCAAGGTAAAGGGAATGGGGAGAAGGGGAAGGCCTGTCAGAGCCATGCTTGCCTGACTTAGGCTGGCTAGAGTCCCTTCAGAGCGCCTTACACTGAGACCTGGAAGAAGCAGAAATCAATCAAACTGCCTAGAAGAGGGTCAGACCTACTGAGTCACTGGGAAGGGACACTAGCCAGCCTGTTGGGCTGCCTGTATGCTGTGCAACAGGCTCCAGGTTCCTAGCTTTTGTGAGATGTTTCCCATGCTGGGGTGGACTTGGTGATGCTCCTGTAAGTAACCCCTCACCCATGCGCCTGAATTAGCCAATAAAACTCACTGGTCAACCAAGTTGGATTTTGGTGGTATTTGTGCTTTAGTTTTCGTGGGGTCCCTACTTGGAGTGAGTAGATGTGTGTACTGTCTCTCCAGGACAAATTTTGTCACACAACATATGAAGTCCTAGCTGTCCTGGAACTTGCTCTGTAGACCAGGTTGGCCTCAAACTCAGAGATCCACCTGCCTCTGCCTCCTTTGTGTTGGCACTACACCAGCTTCCAACTACAGTATTTCAACCCAGTGAAATGTAGTTAAAAAAATCTATTATGGAATTTAATTACCTATGTTTATAATTGGCATTCATTTTTAAAGAAGAAACTAATCTGCAGAATTTATGAGTTAATTAAATATTAATCAAAGAATAGTGAGGCAATTGTTCTCATTTTTATAAATATTGGTAGGTTCATAAGTAGAAAACTAGCTTTGCAAGGTGCACTTGGATATTTAAGAAAAACTAGTTCTTTTTAAATGTCTACATTTTAATAAACAGCATTAATTTAAGCAGCGACAGGACACCTTCTGTGTGTGAAAGCCTCTTTCCAACATTAAATTCTCAGCTGAGAACATGCTGTACTGTGGCCCCACTGGAGGACTCAGCATTCCAAGGCTTCCAAGCCTTTGCTTCTGTCCCCAGCATACAGATATTTCCATAATCCCAGTATTTGGGAGGTGGAGTCAGGAGGATTAGGGGCTTAAGGTCATCCTTGGCTACCTCTACTGAGAGTTCAAGGCCAGGGGATTAGGGTATAGTTCAGTGTTGGCCCACCATGCAGAAAACCTTGGGTTCTATCCCAAGCACAGCATAAATCTGATGTGGGACTCACACCTGCAATTTCAGCCCTAGGGTGAGACAGGAAGATCCTCAATTCAAGTCATCCTCAGCTATCCATCCAATGTGAAGCCACATGACCTACGTGAGACCCTATCTCAAATAACAACAAACAACAAAAGACCCAGCTCAAGTTCTGTGGTGACTTCCTCCCCATATCAGGCCCCTTCTTCTCTGCCCAGAGTCACCAGTCTGTGGCCCAGAAGACTGACAGGCTGTAGTGGGATGTTGGCTGAGGGCTTTATGAGGCTGCCATGTGAGAACAGACCCAAGTCCCAGCAAAAAGAATGAGGGCTGTCAGCTACAAAGCCTTAATCTACAACTGGGACCTGCTTGCAAGATATGCCGGCTTAGTCGTGGCACAAAGGTTGTGGGAGAAACCGACCAATATCTCTTTGGGTTTAAGGCCTAACCCATGAGATGAACCCATCCCTGACACTACTCAGATGGCCAAGGACCTGAGCCTAGACAGGCGAGGGACCCAGTGGAAAATCAAATCCTACTATTCTCCTAAAGGAACTTATCAATAAAATGAGTCCTAGAGACATTCTGCTGTACTCATAGATGAGTACCTGGCTCAGCCATCACTGGAGAAACTTCCTTCTGCAGCAGATGGGATTAAAAACAGAGACCAACAGCTAGACGACATGGGAAGAGTAAGAGACTATGGAACACTCAGTCCTAAACAGGGTGTCTCCATCAAATCCCTTCCCTTCGGGCTCAGAAGAGCCTGTGAGATCTTGTGAAAGAGGAGGCAAAAAGATTGTGAGAGCCAGAGGGGATGTGGGACGCCAAGGAAACCAGGCCTTCTAAATACAGCAGGACCAACACACATGAACTTACAGAGACTGGCAACAGGCACAGGACTTACATAAGCCTGGGCCAGATGGGGTCCCAGCTCTGAGGGGAAGATGGACACGAGACCCCATCCCTAACTTCTAAGCTATCTCCAGGTGACAACTGCTCATAAAGGAAAAATGAGTTTTCTCCCATTGAGTCTCACTGGGAGGGCCTGGAGAGATGGCTCAGTGGTTAAGAGTCTCACTGGGTATACAGGCCACTACTGGGCTCAGCAGTGGAGGCCAACACAAAACAAACCCAACGGCATTTTTGGAGGTTCCTTGCCTCATAATGTTTTGTCTGGGTTATTTTTCTTTTCTTTTTCTTCCCTTACAGATCATATATATATATATATATATATATATATATATATATATATATATTATGGTTTCTTATGTTTTTATAAGATTTCATAGGATTTCTGTGTGTGTGAATGTCAGTGTCTTTGCATCTATATGTGTTTCTTGTGCTTTTTTCCTTTGTTTTTTTTCTCCTGATAGTTTGCTTGCTTGTTCCTGTTCTAGTTTGTTTGTTTTTATTTTATCTTTTTTTCAGATGTCTGTGTGTGTGTGTGTGTGTGTGTGTGTGTGTGTTGTGTGTGTGTATAAATATAATTTTGTTTTTTGAGACAGAGTTTCTCTGTAGCTTTGGAGCCTGTCCTGGAACTTGTTCTGTAGATCAGTCTTGCCTTAAACTCACAGAGATCTGTCTTGCTGGGGCCTGTTTGTATTCTAATGAGGGGAGGAGGGGGAGGATATGGGTGGGTGGAGAGTCAGGGAGGATCTGGGAGGAGAGCTTGGGAAGGGGAAACTATAATAAGAATATAATATATGGGGGCTGGAGAGATGGCTCAGAGGTTAAGAGCACTGACTGCTCTTCCAGAGGTCATGAGTTCCCAGCAACCACATGGTGGCTCACAACCATCTATAATGAGATCTGGTGACCTCTTCTGGCCTGCAGGCATACATGCAGACAGAATACTGTATACATAATAAATAAATAAATCTTCAAAAAAAAGAATATATGTAGGGACACAGAGAAACCCTGTCTTTATATAGATTATGAAAAAAATCTACTTTCAATTAAGAAACAAACAAACAAGCAAACAAAAAACAAAACAGAAGAATGACAATTTACCTTAGTGTGCACTAGCTGGCAGGGTGGTTGTTGTGGTAGTGGAGTTCTGGCTTATCCAGAGAGCTGCAGAGGCTCAACCCCAAGGAACATGTATTTCAGGCCCTAAGTGGAAGGCAACTTTCTTCTTGGTAACCAACATGTCCTTTGGGTGGGATCTTGCCTTTTCCCAGAGCCCCCTAACCAATCTTTGACTTGAAGGTTGGAGGGCAAAGTGAAGGCCCTTCAAACTGTCCACATCTTGAACCCTAACCCTGTACCGCCCCTGGAAAAGGGAAAGTGAGGCTACAAACCAGCTGTTCATGGGTAAGTAATGACTTTTTCCTGCATGCAGATCGGGCCAGTGTAACCAGAGCCTGAAAAATGGCAGAAGGAGCCAGGAGAACCAGAGAGCAAGACCCCCTCACCCTGAAGAAAGAGAAGCCTGGGCTCACTGCCAGGATGCAGGAAGGGGCTGCAGGAAGGGCCCTGTGACCCCTGGCCACTGGAAAATCCTGGGACAGGCTCTGTTAGAGCTTCCAGGAAGGAATGAAGCCAGCAGCATGTAACTGTGGTGACTCACGCCAGATTCTTGTCTCACAGAACTGAGATGACAAGTCTGCATTAAGTTGCCAGACTTGTGGGGATGTTTCAGTAGGAGGGTCATTCACTTCACTCTTTCTCTCCTTTTTGTTTTGTTTTTCAGGAACTAAATCTATATTTGTAAAACTCTAGGGGCAAGGCTTGGAGAGATGGCTCAGCCATTAAGGCTCACAATAACAATTGGAAAAAAAAAAAGAGTGTGTGTTTTCCTGAATGCATGTCTGTGCACCACTTTCAAGCCTGGTGCCTGGGGAGGCCAGAATTGGAGTTAGATAGTTTTGAGCCACCGTGTGAGCACTGGAAATGGACTCCTGGCCCTCTGGGACTAGTGCTCTTAATTGCTGAGCTATCTCTCAAACCCCAGGATTTAAATATTTTCTTTTTCTTTCTTTCTTTCTTTCTTTTTTTTTTTTTTTTTTTTTTTGGTTTTTTTCGAGACAGGGTTTCTCTGTATTGTTTTGGAGGTTGTCGGTCCAGCCCGGCCTCGAACTCACAGAGATCCGCCTGCCTCTGTATTTTCTTTCTTTTTTTCTTTTCCTTTTTCTATTCTTTTTTTTTTTTTATATTGGTGGATCGACCGATTGACTGAGACAGGGTCTCACTATGTGGCTGCCCTGTAGTCAGGCTAGCCATAAACTTTCCTAGAATCCCCCGGTCTCTGCTTCTCGAATGCTGGAATTGTAGGTGTGCTCTACCACACCGGGCTTGGCACCCAAGTTTCTGCCTTTCAAATCTCACTAGTGCCTTGGCTGCTCTGAAATTCAGTAGGCGCCGCTTGGTCCCTAGAGCTTCGGGGGGAGGCCGAGCTCTTCCGCCCGGCTCCGGAGAAGTCGCTCAACCTGACAAATTGGTCCATCGCACCTATTACCTCCCCTTCGTGAACTGGAACCTGCAGCTGTTGTGGACCAGACGCGGAGCTGGGTGAAGTGTGGGGGCGGCGACACAAGCCCGGGTCTCTATCTGCAAAACATGCGGTAGAGACCGAGTTGAGTGCTGAGCTAGGACAGTTCAGTGGAAAGACCCAGGGCCAGTCACCGAGCTTCAGGAGGTTAGCTGCGGCCACACCCTAAGGACACAGACAGGCTGGGTGCGCACGTGTGTGTACAAGTGAGTGAGCGCAGTGGGTCGGACCGGGACTACAAGTTCCAGGGTGCCCAGCGGCGCGCCGCCCGCGGTCTCTAAGCAGGTCGCCACGGACTGGCACGCGCCACTCTCTTCCCAGAGTAAATAAGGGACCGAGTCCGACTCTCCTGAGCACCGTAAATAGAGTCCGAGTGGGCGGGGAGCCGCCCGGCACCGCCTGCTCATGTCGCTGCAGAGTCAAGTGTCCGGCCGCCTGGCACAGCTGCGCGCGGCGGGCCAGCTGCTGGTTGCCCCGCGCCCCTGGCCCGGCCGCTCGGCGGGTGGCCCGCGGCCCCGCGGCAGTGCGTGCGGTCCTCCGGTGGCGCTGGGTGCGCACAGCCACTGCGCGTGGCCCTCGGCGGGAGTTGGGGCGTGGGGGGTGGCGGGGCGCGGAGCCTGGGTACGCACCTGGGCCCCCCTGGCCATGGCCGCGAAGGTGGACCTGAGCACCTCCACCGACTGGAAGGAGGCCAAATGTAAGTGTGAGCGCAGGGCATGGGCCTCCCCGGCTGAATGGCACCCCACATACCCCTGAGACACTTGGGACCCCACCTCAGCCCATAGCTCATGTCCAGCTCCCACACCAGGTCATCCCTTGGCCAAGTGAGTGGGGAAGGCGGCCTTACCTCAGCTATGGTCCGCAGGAAACCCTTACCCCACTTCCCGCTCAGATCCTCTGGGACCTGCCACCTTCCTCCACGCACAGGAGGGAAACTGAGACCCGGTGTCGGAGCCCATTTCCCCAAGGTCATGGGCGAGTGTGCAGAGGCAAAGTGTGTAATCTTGACCTCCGATACCTGGCCTTGTATGCTGCTAGACATTTGGGGCCGAGTGGCAGAGAGCAGTACAGGGCTGGTGGCTGCCAGGTAGGGTCAGATAGCAACAAGAGTGGCAGCTCGGGTGCCAGCCTCTCTGGGAGAGTAGTAGTTTGCCGTTTTGCCCGCCTGCTGGCTTCTGGCTCCTTGCCAACATGCTGCTCCCTTCTTGGGGGACTGGGCTCATAGAATCTGGAGAGCAGACTGACACCGAGTGTGGGCTGGTGAGACTCACTGATTCCCCCCAAGAATGAAAATATTTCTCCTTCAGGACAGGCATGCCGGAAAGGGGCAATGGGTCCTGGACAACCAAGTCTCTAGCTGGAACGCAAAGTCCAGAGTCCCAAATAGCCCTGAGCGGCAGTCCAGCTGCCCCTGCCCTTCAGCGCCAGTCCCTCCCCTATTGGCTCTGGGCGGATCCCCTTTCAAAAGAGCTGCGAAGGCGCATGCCTCATTGGCTGGTCTGCCGGCGGGCGTGGCCATGGGGGCTGGGTTGAAGGTAACCTCAGATTGGGACGTTTTAAGAAAGGGAACTTCTTGAGTTGCGTGTCTGCCCAGGGTCCTAAAGCACTTGACGGTCCTCTCTGGGAGAGAAAACTCCCCACGCCCTCAAACTTGGCAGAGTAGGGGACTGGCCCAGAACTTCCGCAGAGGGAGTCATTGTCGTCTTTAGAATCCTGCTTTCCCATGGAGAGCAGGGACAGATATGTAGTGTAGGATCTACCTCTGTTTCTAGATTTCAGGACCTCCTTCCTGGGTCCCTGTAAGTCAGGTGAGCTGGTTCTTGAGGCTATGGAGAATGTCTGGTCTCTGCTTGCCGCCGTTTCCAGTGTGTGTACTGGGATTATAGATGCCAGTGCTACTTCGTCTGGCTCTTAGGCTTTTTTTTTTTTTTTTTTTTTTTTTTTTTGGTTTTTTCGAGACAGGGTTTCTCTGTTCCTGGGACTGGCTCTGTAGACCAGGCTGGCCTCGAACTCACAGAGATCCGCCTGCCTCTGCCTCCGCAGAGCTGGGATTAAAGGTGTGTGTCACCAAAACCCGGCTGGCTCTTAGGCTTTTGCATGAGTTCTGGGGCTCAAACCCGGGTGTCCAGGCTTGCACGGCAAGTGCATTTACCCACTGAGCCATTTCCTTGGCCCTCATTCAATGAACTTTTCCCTCATGCCCTATGGGGCCAGCACTGTGGGACTCAGCAGTGAGCCAGGAGGTAAGTCTGTCTGGTGGGGAAAACTTGACATAGGGCCATATCCTGTGGGTGCTAGGAAGAGACTGTGGTGGCTGAGGCCACCTGAGCTAGGGTGGTCAGAGGTAACCTATCAGGGACCTGAGGTAAAGAAGCTAGTTGGGGAAGGGCACTCCAGCGTGAGGATGTAGGACTAGACTTAGAGGAGGTGGTCCCATTGTGACCAAATGCAGTCCTGAGGCATCAGTGACATCGACTGACGGGTGAGACACGGCCTCTTATGTTCCAGTTACCTAATGTGTGGAAGAGATTACTCCAAGTCTCCATGACCTGGGACAGCAGTGTGTCTTTATGTAGTCCTGGATGTCCTGGAACTCACCATGTAGACCAGGTGGCCTCAAACTCACAGAGATCCACCTACCTCAAACACTTTTTTTTTTTCCTTAAAAGGCCCACGCCTTTAATCCCAGCACTCAGGAGGCAGAGGCAGGCGGATCTCTGTGAGTTCCAGGTCAGTCTGGTCTACAGTTCTAGGCCACCCAGGCTACATAGTGAGACCCCATCTCTAAAAACAAAACAATAAAGTCTTTCTGTGTAGCCCAGACTGTCCTGGAGCTCACAATACAGTCCACATGTGCACATTATGACCGTTTATGCTTCTTTAGCTCCGTGTAGTAGATGTACCAGTTTGTATACACCTTTTGTAGATGGGTATTTGGGTTTCTTGTGCATAAGGTTTCTCAGACCATCCTGATGCATGTCTCTAATGAACATGTGCTGTCAGGGTTATGTTTAGATGAGGACTAGATATCTAGATTGCTTTCCTGAGGTGATCTTCTGTCAGAGATTGGCATACACTGATTAAACTCACACAACACTGATGCATAGGCAGTTTAGGGTGAAAAAATGTGGCCCGGCGGTGGTGACGCAGGTCTTTAATTCCAGCAGTCAGGCAGCGGAGGCAGGTGAATGTCTGTGAGTTCAAGGCCAGACTGGTTTACAGACAGTTCCAGGACAACAACAGCCAAGGCTGTTACACAGTGAAACCCTGTCTTGAAACAACAAATGTATGTATAGATGCATGTATGCAGTGGGTGCTCCTGAGCCCTTGGGCAGGGCCGCCTCACCCCTTGGGAAAGCCAAGGCCCAATCTTGGGTTGCTTGGTGGCATCTGTTGTCCTCCAGAGCAGCCCACATTAGTTTTTGCATGGTTGTGACCACAATGACTTCATTTAAGGGAAGAAAGAGAAGGGATTTATTTTGACTCATGGTTGCAAATGGTCTCTGCTCACAAGGGCCAGGAAGGCATGATGCAGACCTCTGATCCTAGTACTCAGAAGTAGAGGCAGGAGGATTGCTGTGAGTTTGTAACTGATGTAGGCTATACAGCAAGGATGGTCCTACCTAGCAAGACTCTGTTCCAAACAAAGGGGAAATATGACCATGGTGGCAGGAGTGAGTAGCAGATAAGGCAGCAGAGGGGGAGGCCCAAGGCATAAGGCCAGCTCCTGATTCTGCCGGCCAGCTCCCATCTCCCCAAGAACAGCACCACCAGCTGGGGACCAAGCTTTTAAAATGTTACATGAGCCTGTGGGGGCATTCAGATCGAAAGCATAATCTCACTCAGGCAGCAGGCTGCAGGCAGCAGGAAGGCAGGTGAGAGGCAGGAGAGCAAGCATCAGTGCTTGGGAAGGGCTCAGCCCTCCAGAAGAATCTCCTTGTGAAGTGTGTGCCATGTCCATTGTCTGCTACAGAGGCCTTGGCCAAGGCTCAGCTCCTTCTTCACCTCCATGTTGGCTGCTTGCTTCTCTGGGTCCACTAACCTTTCTCATCAGGATAGCCACTAGGCTGGATCCCCTCATCAGGAGACATGTAGGTCTTTTGTTTTTGTTTTGTTTTGGAGACAGTGTCTCCTGTAGCCTAGGCTGGCCTCTAACACCCTGTATAGTACAGGATGACTTTGAACTTCTGATCCTCCTGCCTGTACATTATTCCAGGTGCTGAGATTACAGGTGTGCTCTGCCAAGCCTGGTTTATGTGATCCTGGGGGTCAAACCAAGTGCTAAGCTTTGTTGGTGGCCTTCTGGGAGATTTGCTTACCCTGGTTAATTAACCTAATCCTCTTGATTCCTGGGTGCCACAGTGCCCTCCCTCCAGCCAGGGCCTGTTTAGAAGACTAGAGATAGGGCTGAGAGATGGCTCAGCAGTTTAGAGCCCTGATTGCTCTTTTAGAGGACCTGGGCTCACTTTTAGCTCTTACACAGAGGCCCACAACTACCCCTAATTCCAGTTCCAGGGGATCTGATGCTGTCTTCTGGCCTCTAAGGGCACCAGATAGGTACATAATGCACATACATACATGCAGGCCAAACACTCATGCAATACAATAAAATAAACAAATATTTTAAAAATTACTTAAGCGGGGCCATGGTGACGCACGCCTTTAATCTCAGCCCTCAGGAGGCAGAGGCAGGTGGATCTCTATGAGTTAGAGGCCAGCCTGGTCTACAGAGCAAGGTCCAAAGCTACACAGAGAAACCCTGTCTTGGAAACAAAACAAATTACTTAAAAAGAAGATTGGAAATTTAACAATGAAAGGCAGTTGACTTGAGGGGTCTTAGCTGGGGCCATCAGGAACAGCTAGGGCTCTGACTTACCCTTGACTTCTTGTCCCATGTTGGAGCAGAACTGTGTACTGAAAAGAGAAGGGACATTGGTGCCCTCAGACTCCAGCAAGCCCCAGGGTCACTGTTGCACGCTCCCTGAGCCTCTATTTCCTCATCTATGAAACGCAACCAATAGTTCCTGCTGTCATTAGAGTGACAGCCTACAGAGCTGCCCCCTTCCACATCTCTGCCCAGCCTCCTACCCTCTCTGTGCTGGCCTCCTACAGGCAGCTCCCTGGTGGCTCCTGGTGAGAGTCCCATTCTTCAGCTGCAGATCTCTTGGAGGGGCCGGATTGACTGAGGACCTTAGGGAATGTCATCTCAGTGACAGTGTCTCTGATGGGACTGCTGAGCCAGCATATTGTCCAGGCACACCTGAGAATTAGGGGTGAGGGCATCCCTTCCGTGTTGGGATGCAGCCTTAGCGCCCCTGTGTGTATGGGTAGGCTTCATACTGTGTCCGCCACTGCTTGTGCCACGGACTTGGCTGAGTCGCTGTTCGCAGGGGCCGGTGAGCACAGGTGATTAATGCCCGGGAAGCTGCACGCTGCTGTGTTTGAGTGCACAACCTTATCAGCTGTGCCCACCTGGTTTTCTGCAGACTTACCACCCCCCCCACCGCTCCCCAGGCCCAGCCTGGCTCATCCCTCTGAACGGCGTCTTCCAAAGTGTCATAAAGATACTTCTTAAAACACATCATTGAATTCCCGTTTGCCTGGCTCGCTTTATGGCTCTGGCGGAGCTGCTTTCTCCTGCCCATCTTTCGTGCCCACGAGCCTCTGGAAGCTTATTCTGGGGTCAGGCTTCCCCATCAAAATTTACTGCGAACATCTTTTTACAACACCTGTCTCAGTGAGCCATGAAATACTCTCGCCTCTTCAAAAATGAGAGAATGAAAATGCATGTTTTACATCTTTTATAAAAAAAGAACACTTGTGCTTTAAGTCTGACTTGAAAGGAGGTGGGCAGTGACTGCTGGGCGGGGCAGAGAGGAGGCCTGGGGGGGTGGCCCTGAAAGTCGGAGCTGAGGTGAGGAATCAGGGTATGGGCCCCAGGGCAGAGAAGTATCTCTAGCAGCTGTGTAGTTTTCAGCACCTCAGACAGGTGCCATGGCCCTGACCCTGTTTGGAGATGGGGACTGGTGTGCTGTGCCTTTTGCTTGTGTCTCATACAGCCCAGGCTGGTCTTGAATTCCTTATCCTCCTGCCTCTACCTGACAAATGCTGGGATAACAGTTGTGTGTCACCATATCTGGCTCATGCTGGCCACTTGAGGTTGTGCATTTGGGGACCAGCATGGACAGGGACAGACTGAGAGATGTCCCTGAGAGTGTAGTGGTTGTTGGTGGCAGAGACAGGGTGCAAGTCTCTGGGCAACAGTGCTCTATTTGGACTCCATTGGAGCAAGTGGCCTTGAGAACTATGGCCATTCAAAATAGGTCAGCAAGGTTAGGAAGAAGGACAGGTCCACCCCGGTTCCTTTTACCTGGGTGTGACAAGGGTTGGGTCTTTCTGCCTCCCCTCTAAGGTGCTGGCATCTGTCAGATGTGTCCGCCAGCAGTCTAGGTAGCCTTGGGCCGTGGGAGTCACTCCTTGTGGCACCAAGGTTGGTTCCAGTCTGACCCCCTCAGCAGTGCCTGTAGCTGGTCTGCAGTGACGGACAAGCAGTTGGTTGTGTCACCACAGCTTCCTGGTGACAGGTCTAGCCGGCTGGAAGCATTCACACTTGATTGTGCCAAGGTTCAGGTGTCTTTGGTCATGGCTGCACGTGATAACGAGTATGGGGAGCCACATAATGGCCAAAGCTCTATCTGCCCTGCTTTGCATCTGGAAAAGACGTTGTCCTCTGAAACCCTGCCCTGTTAGGTGCCCCTCCTGAGGACTCTGTGATGCTACAAAGGGGTTGAACTGCATGCAGTCCTGATTTCTTTTTCTGAAGCTGGAAATGGGGTTGAACCTGGGACCCATGCAGGCTAGCTAAGCACTCTACCCCTGAGTCAATGCTCTTGCCAGCCTGATTGCCCCCTTCTCACAGACCTTCAGCATCTGGGTGCCAGGGAGGGTAGACTGGGTCCCTGACTTAAGAGAAAGAAACAGACTTGGGCCATGACTTGCCGTTGAGCATAGTGGGAGCCAAGGGGAATGAAAGCCCCAAGTGGCTTCTCTCCATCCCTCTGTGCCCTGCCTTCTCTCTCTGCTCCCGCTGCCCCAGCTTCCCTCCACATCATCCCCAAATGTCCCCTCTTGCCTCAGCGCTTTTGCAGAGGCAGGCCCTTTGCCTGGATGACTGTCCAGCCGGCTGACCCTCAGCCTTCAGGTCTCCTCCATGGCTCTTGCACGCACTGCACTGTGCTGGTGGGGAGCAGTACAGGTGCTCACACGGATCTTCTAGGCCAAGGAAGGAGCACACAGACTCTCAGGAGTCTTAGTGGAGCCGGGCGTTGGTGGCGCACGCCTTTAATCCCAGCACTCGGGAGGCGGAGGCAGGCGGATCTGTGTGAGTTCGAGACCAAGCTTGGTCTACCGAGCGAGTTCCAGGACAGGCTCCAAAACAATACAGAGAAACCCTGTCTTGAAAAACAAAACAAAACAAAACAAAAAAAGATTCCTAGTGGAGAAGGGACTGGAGAGGGCAATGAGAAAGGGACTCGAAAGGAAAACTACTCTTCCAGGTATGGCAGGTGCAGAGGTGCTGAGGCAGGAAATTATCTGCATGTTTGAGGAACAGGTTGGTAAATTACCAGGTCAGTGGGTGTGGGTGTAGTTAGAAGGGCAAGTTTGGAAATCCGGGTGTGTGTAAATGGTCAACATGGAGTCAGGAAATGCCCTTGGGTTTGAGCTGAGTCTCACTAGAGGGGGCGGGGGAGGGAATAGTGAAGTTGGAACATAGGGCTTTTAAAATTTTTCTATTTTATCTTAAATATCTAAGTGCTCTGTCTGCATGTGTGCCTGCACACCAGAAGAGGGCATCAGATCTCACTATAGATAGTTGTGAGCCATCATATGGTTCCTAGGAATTGAACTCAGGACCTCTGGAAGAGCAGCCAGTGCTCTTAGCCTCTGAGCCATCTCTCCAGCCCAGAACCCAGGGCTTTGTGTAAGCGTCCTACCAGCTGACCTACATCCTCAGACTTGACTCCCATCTGCTTTCTGATGCCATTTGGGTTTCTATGTGATGTTCGTTGTGTGCTATTCCCTCTCCTCTGGAGACAGTAAGGTACACTCTATCCTCCCTGTGCTTCAGGGAACCTGGACAGGCTGAGCCTAAGTGTAATACATAGCCTCATACCAGTAGGGGGAGCCTGTGAGCCGTAAGCCTGGACTAAGCTGTAGCAGAAATGCCTCTGAGGTGGCTCAACTGTAAAAACAGGGACATCTGCCCGTAGGCTGCTTGAAACCCAGCCAGTGCTGGGAGAAAGCTGACAATAGGCTCCTGATCTGCCAGAGTCTGTTTGTGAAGACACTTGTTTTGCCATCAGTGACACTGTGACCGACAAGGGACAGAGCATCACCAGCCTGCCTGGCCTAATGCGTGCGAGTTTGCAATTGTTCTGCAAGGGACATCTTACCCCACCACAATGCAGAAATGAGGGACCTAGGTATCAGGAAGTGGCCAGGCTGAATTCTGAATGGGGATCTGCAATGGCTGAACAACCCCCTCAGTCTCCCTCGGCCTCAGTTTCTCTTCCTGAACAAAGACAGCAGGGCAAGATGTGGCGTCTTCAGTGTCCCTGTCCCTGAGGGTGATGGAAAGCATGGCTAGTAGGAGTGGGTTGCACTCTTGGACTTAGCAGGAGGAGGAGGCCTAGGTGGGATGCTCTTCACCCTGCTACACTGACTCTCCTCCTGCATGTCCTCCCCTACAGCCTTTCTGAAGGGCTTGAGTGACAAGCAGAGGGAGGAACACTACTTCTGCAGGGACTTCATTAAGCTGAAGAAGATCCCCACATGGAAGGAGACAGCGAAAGGTAGGCCCTATTCCCTGGGCATGGCAGGTGCCACCTGCAGAACGGCTTGGGAGGATCTGCCAGAAGCATCCAGTAGTATCAACGGAGTGCTCCCTACATCCAGGCTGTCTGCATGTGCCACTTCATTTAATTATTAACATTGCCTCAGGCCGGTTTGGGTTTCAGTCCCATGACAGCATTAGGAAGCCAGCTCCAGGCCACATAAGTCATCTATCTCTGGTTGCTGGGAGCTGAGCTCTGATGCCATGATGCACTGGCCTACAGTGGCGTCCTGGGGGAACTCCTGAGGCCTGGAAGTGCAGGTGTGGTAACCTGTGACCCCGCGTGTCCCACCTCAGCCTCTGTTGTGCTACCTATAAAATGGAGCATGTAAAGTCAGGGCATTCCCAGCACTTGGGAGGTAGAGGCAGGAAGACGAGGCACTGAAGGCCAGTCTTGGCTATGTAGCAAATTAGGAAAAGGGGGATATGTAATGTCACTGATGCTTCCTGGAACATCATTGTAAAGGCCTTGTGTGCACACAGTAGGTGCTCATCCAGGGTAGGACGTCATCACCAGCATCACTATTCATCCTTTAGGCTCTTTGCCCATGGGCTCTGGCTGAGTCACTCTGCAGTGAAAGTCCTCTCTGTGACCCCTTAACGCTGCCTGTTCCAGGGGTGACTGTGAAGGTGGAGGACCCCACGTATAAGAAGGACAAGCAGCTGAATGAGAAGATTTCCCTGTTCCGTGGGGACATCACCAAGCTGGAAGTGGATGCCATCGTCAATGCTGGTGAGTGACTGGCCCGAGTCAGAAGCCTGGGGGCCACTTTGTCACATTCAGCTTGGTTGCTGTGGGCGCCAAAAACGGGTGGGCGCCACCTGGCTCCAGAGAGCCTCTCAGTTGCTGGTGTGGATGACTTCCTGGCGCCACAGGAGCCCAGCGTGGCGGCCACTTGGGCTCGGCTTCTCTTGAAGCCCTGACCTGCTCTCTGGGGGCACCTCACTCTGCCAAGCCGCCTTGCAGCTCTGAGGCCCATTAGCAGTGGGGATGGGGGAGAGCATGGCTGGAATGATGCCACACTGCCCTTGAGGTGGAGGCCGAAACCAGCTCTCATCCTGGGGCGGGGCGGGTCTGCTTCCCCTCCCCATCAGCCTCGCCTCACTCCACACCTGGCCAGGTGAGGGAGTTCATGGAAGGAAGGGAGTGTACGGAGAGGTCCCCTCAGTCCCCTGGCAGCTCTCCAGTGCCTGGGCTGGGAGCTGCTCAGCTTCCTGCATGTGTTCTCTTGCTGGCTTGGCGGTTTATTGTGATGAGCAGAGTGGAGGCAGCTGCTTTTCTGGGGAGGGAAGAGCGATGATGCGGTGTTTGTCTGGCTGAGGTCAAGAGGCTCTGGGAAGGGCTCTGGAGTCATCAGTCTGGGGTCAGGAAAGTCTAGCGTGTGCATAGGAACTTCTTAGAACAAGGTCCGGTGGCTTCCCTCCCTCCCATGTACAACCCTCAAGAGCTACAGCAGGCATCAGAGGTGTCTTTTTCCACGACTGTGAATGTCAGGGCACAGCTCCTAGCACAGGACTCAAAACCCATCAAGCAGCCCTGGCCCCTCAGCTGCTTCCCGACCTCCTCTCACCTTCTGGCTTGCAGGAGCTCTGTCTGACCTGAGTCTTAACAAGGGAGTATGTCCCTCCAGGACGCTGGGACAGGGGGCTGCTGATGCTGCCAATGCTTCTTTGGCCTCCTTAAGTAACTGGGCTCCAGCAGAGGTGACTGCTCAGCCTGCCCTGGACCTTGGCATTTGTGGTCTGGGTGGTATTTCTGGCACTGCTTGCAGAGGTATAACACTGTGTCCTTCCTCCACCCTGCCTGTCTCAGGCACGCAGTGATGGGTGGCATTCAGTGCCAGAGGGAGCTTGGGTCCCTTTGCCCAAGCTGTTGCTTCTGTGTGTCTCCCTTGGGCACACAGGGAGTTTGATGAATCCATCCACGTGAAGACAGATTTGTCTGGTTTGCACACCAGTCCCTCAGGAAGTCTCTTGGGTCTGCCTTGCCCTGGCACCTGGCCCTGCTGGTTACTGCCAGAGGTGTGGGAGGCACCCAGTGACCTTTTTCCCATTGAGCTGTAAAATGGACAATGGAAAAGCTGGTGCCTTGCCTCTTGGGTTCCCTGGCAGCTGGTGGGGGAACAAATTTGGGTTTAGGGACTAAGATATGTGTCACTGGGTTCATGTGACCGGAGAAAGCTCTGGAGGCTGGGACACAGGACATGGACTGGCTTGCCAGCTCTTTCCCTGAGGAGCCCTCCAGCACTGGCTGAGCTGGCTGCCCTGGGCTGGTGGCCTTGTTGGTCATGCTTCCCCCAGGATGTGGTATCCTTCTATCTGTCAGGCTTCTTTCTGTCCCTGCACAATGGGGATGGCGGAAATCGGTCCATCTGGCTGCTGGGGACATGTTAGGTAGGAATGACACTCATTCACCACCTGCACTGGCGACACCATTAGCAACATGCTGAGTACCAGCTCAACAAGGCCAAGGACTTGGTGCCTCCTGCAGATAAGCAGCCATCCCTTCTCTTGCTTGCCTTAGTGAACCCAACACTGAGTGTGTTTTCTTGAGGTCTTTTTCTAGAAAGAGGCTCAGTCAGGATTCAGAACCCTTCCAGAGTGTCGAACAGTGACTGAATCAGGCGTTGGACATGGATTTCCCATGTAGAGCCCACGTGTCCCCCCTCTCCCGTGTTTAATGTGGTACTGGCATTGGTCAGACAGAGGTCCTCAGTGGCCTTGGTTCCCTCCCCAACCCCTGCCACCAGGGGGCAGCAGAGATTGCATTTCTGAGGAGCCCATAAATCAGCCTTTATTAGTGAAATAAAAGTCTCAGGCAATGTGGGGCTTTTCAGGGCTGCATAAATCTGCGTCCGAGCCTCGTGAAACCCATATGTGCTTAATTCATATGTAAAGTTTCAAGCAGGAAGAGAATGCATGTCCATTAAATTCTATTTGACTTGATTATAATCATTAGCCGTGAATAATTGCTTCTCATTGCCGACCGCAGAGCCACCACAATAGGCAAGAGGAGAGAGCAATTATCTCGGGGTGGGAATTTTTAAATTTTTATTTTTGAAGCCAGGGGTAGCATTGGCCTGTGAGCATTTGATGGCCCGTGGAGCACAGTGGGGACTGGGAGTGGCTGGGGTCTTGAAGTCCTACCAGGGCTTCCACACTGTGCGGGCATGGGCGCGGGCGCGGGCGCGCACCCATCCTCATTTTGGTCTCACTTTGTCTCTGTTCCCAGATGGGGAGGAGTGTCCCCCTGGGCCTCTCTTCAGCTGCAAGGACATGGACAAGGATGTAGGGGGAGTTAGAGAGGGGCTGTGAGGGAATGGGGGAGGTTTGATCCTTACCCCCACTCTGATAAGTGGGAAGCTTAAGGGAGAGCATCTCTAGCTAGGTTGTAGGCATCTCTGTCCCTTGGTGTAGGACCCAGGGAATGCTTGCAGAGGGCAGGTCCAGTGCCCTCCCCTGTCACCCCTCATCCCCATCTTTCTACTGGCCACCTGGCATTTGAAGCCCAGGACTGATTTTAACCCTGCCTTAATGATGTGTGTGATGTGGCTGGCATGTGTGAGACGGGATGGTGTGACGTGTGACACAGATGTGTGTTGTGTGGCCGGGGATGGTGTGACGTGTGACACAGATGTGTGTTGTGTGGCCGGGGATGGTGTGGCGTGTGACACAGATGTGTGTTGTGTGGCCGGGGATGGTGTGGCGTGTGACACAGATGTGTGTTGTGTGGCCGGGGATGGTGTGGCGTGTGACACAGATGTGTGTTGTGTGGCCGGGGATGGTGTGGCGTGTGACACAGATGTGTGTTGTGTGGCTGGGGATGGGAGGCCCGAGGGAAGGAAGAATGCCTGGCTGATGAGTGGCAGGGGTTAAGGTCACAGGGGCAAGACAAACTCACTAAACTCTCCCCACAGCTGCCCCATGGGCTGATGGCCAAGGCACATGCCAGGGCAACACCAGGGAGAGCCTCAAGCTCCTGCCATCTGTGCCGGCCACAGCTTCTGCCCATGGGGGTATGCCGCATCCATCGTAATTAAATTGACTGCCACACTGGCAAGATAAGCTAGGGAGCCCCTGTGGCTACTCTCTCCTCCAGGCATTGGAGATGCTGGGGGCAGTGCCTGTCTCTGACCCCCAGGGCTGCAAGTCGGGAGAGCTCAGATCTGGGGCTCTCTCCTTGGGGTGGGAGGTATTGTGGCTTTCACAGTGTTTGAGTCTTTTCTCTGCCTCAGCGGATGTGACCTTAACTCTATGTCATGAGTGTCTAGCTCAGCGGCCTAATGTCTGTGGGCCCTTGTGCCTGAGATGGCCAACTCCCAATCAGGAAGTCTGGACACAAAGACCCTCATTCTTGTCCATCCCAGGGGTCCAGTGGCCTGGCTTTGGCCTTGAAGTCATCCCAGGGCAGAGCATACATGAACGTCACACTTTGTGGGAGACACAGCCATCTTTTTCTTTAGAGCAATCTCAGGCTGTGTATGTGTGTCAGAGCACCATCGGGGCCTTTGGAGTGGGATCCGAGGCCTCCTGCCAGCACCTCCCATCCCTCAGGTCCTCATCTGAAAACTGCATCATCCTGGGTCCCAGCCTGTGTGGGAGTGAGGATGACACATGTTTAGGCCTGACACACAGAGGGCCCCAGTAAATTAGTCCTGGGGAAGTCAGGAGCAAGAGCAGCTAAGTAGAATATAATGTGACACAGCGCCGGGAGGGAGGTTTGAATAAAGTGTGCGTGACGCCGCAGGGACCAATTAATTCTGCCAGGAGGTGGCGGGAGGCGAGGTGGGTCAGGGAGGCCTTTGAAGGGTCTGGGTTCTGGGGCCTGGCCTTAAAGAATGGTGGGAAGCCAAGTCTCACAGCTACAAGCCGGCCTCACTGGGAGTCTTTTAAGCCGCTTATTTATTTAAAACAAGGCACGAGTGGCACTCTACTTCCTTAAGTCCTGGGGCTTTGATTTGTGAGAGCCTACCCGCCTCTTATCCTCCACCCCCACCCCGCTGTCGCAGAAGCTCTGTTTCATCCCTTCCTGCTGCCTGGAAGGTAGTGGAGCCTGGTGTGTGGAGGAGCAGGCATTGACGCTGAGCGTCTGGCCACCAGTGAGCGGCCACCAAGTGCCCCGCCCTGCCCTGGCTGTCCCCCAGCCTGCCTCTGCTGGGCTGGGGTGGGTGATTTAGAGACCGCCTTGATGGACTAGCAAGCAGGGGGCCGCAGGGACAGCGACTGCCTGGTGGGAAGTGATCTGACGCTAAACTGTCGCCGTAAATCGCTTTATCTGTCACTTCAGATTTAAATGTGTTTGCTGAGGCTTGCCGGCCGCCGACAGCAAAAGAAGAAAAAAAAAAAGCTTCTCATGGGCAGGGGCAGTGCTGGCCAGATCAGAGCCAGGGAGGCCACTGTGGGAGCCTCTGCACTCTTCATGGCCTGCTCAGCTTAGAAGCGCAGGACCCGCCCTGCGCGGGCCACTTCCTCCCTTTTGTCATCTTCCCTCCCATCTCCCCTTTCTCCTGACCTTTCTCCCCATCCACTCCCATCCTCCAACCCCTTCCCTCCCGACTCCCATCTTCCTCCTCCTTTTCCCTCCCCCCTCTCCTCCTCATCTCCCTTCTTCCCCCTCTTCTCTTCCTCCCTCTTTCTCCATTTTTCTCCCCCCCTACCCTTGTCAAATTTCCACTCAATCTCCATCACAGCTAAAGCTCTTCTCCTCTCCAGCTAAGCCCACCCTTACCCACA